AAAAAAACCGGAAAAATTGACCTACCTTTCGGGATGAGGAAATTCCACGCCCGAACTTCTTCAGTAACAACACGGTCGTCAACAAGTGTAATATTGGCGCCCGCCAGGAGAATATTTTTTGCGACTTCAACGTTGATGGCAGAAAGACCAAATATTAACACCGTGCTGGACTTCAACCGACTGAAATGGCAAAGATACGCATTCAAATTCTTCCCTGTGCGCTGAATGAAAGATTCCACTCCACTGAAAAATACGAAAAAAATCCATCGAAATTATTTCCGAAAATCCTCACTGTGCGTTAAACTGATGACTTCACTCCACTGAGAAAAAAATTCTTCGAAATAAATCCCAAAATTCTTGTCTGTGTGGTAGACTGAAAATTATACTCCATTGAAATATACGAAACACGTCCACTGAAATCAATTCAAAAAATCTTCCCTGTGCGCGCAACAAAAGATTCTCTTCAAACTCACCTCTGAGCATTCCGTCCCCACAGTCGTAGTTGGCGATCGTAAACCTCCTCCTCACTGGCCGATATTTCCTCTCCGGCAGGCATGAATCACCGACTACCGTCACGCGCGACCAAATTAAACCTCCATCACCACTAACGCAATTTCCAAAGTACAATCAGAAAATCTTCGTAACATGATTTTTTCGGCAATTTTGCGAAGTACTCCAAAATTCTTCTCTTCTCGTTCCCAAGCCGGCGACGACGAGGTGGACTATGCCTGAGAGCGTGAGACAAATAAATACGTCAATACGGTGACTATAAACTTATTCAATAACTTTTCATGCGAATCAGCTGGAACCCGAATGGCTAAGCTGTGATTCACATCAGTATGAATTATATGGTTTCGAATCACTTTTCGGACTCATTATATTAGGAGTGATTCCCGAACACCTGCGAATCGGGCAATCAAAAAATCGGGAAATATTTCAGAGAAACTCAACACTCATGGGCAATTGTCTCAAATATTGACAACTGACCACATCTTTTTCTTGTGTTCCAAACCATGTGAGCTCTTTTCACCCAATCTGTCGTCCGTGAGCTCTCACCAACCATCTTCGTACGGCTCTCAGCGTTCCTTCACGTCTTATACATATTCGTGACTTCGCGAATACACATTATTCAAGGATTCTTGGAGTCCTCATCG